GTTTGAAAGTTCGGCGTCAGGCCTGTTTTATGACAGTCTTGTTTTCTTCAAAGGATGTCTGTGGTGAGAAATTACTGACGTGAACTGCAACTGAAAACCCCCGAGCTTCGCTCTGGAGGCAGCAGCCTGGCTGAAGTGGTGTCTTTTGGGAACGGGGGTAGGCGAATGGCCGGTAGCTTTGACATCGGTCTGTAGGGCCAGGCTGGTGTTAAAGCCAGCTGGTGGCACGGCTAGCCTTGCCACCGTGGCCCTGGCCATGCTCACCGGGCAGGGCAGCTGTCCTGCTGCACCCGGCCACCCCAAAAACCTGCAGGCAGGATCCCCCCCCAGGTGCTTGTTGGTCTGTTGGTGCTTCCTCTGTGAGTCTGGGCTGTTTGCTCTCTGGAAGTTTTGCCTCCAGAGCTTCCACCCACACCAGGCAGATGCGGCCCAGCCTCCAGCAGCCATTGGGACGAGGGAGTAGCTACACGTGGAACCATTTTCAGGACTGCTTAGAGACACGTGTGCTCTTCACCTCAGGCTCGAGCAGTTTAGCAGTTGAGATGAAAACTGGGTGCAGTTTCCTGAAAGTAACTTTTCATATTTCAACATGAAGCGGTAACTGGAGCCTTCAAGCTTAGTACGGTGCAGAGCTATTGCTTCCAGTAAGAAGTAATTGTTTCATATTTGGTGGAAAAAATTGCAATAGAAGGATCTCGGATGATTCATTTCCTATGCAGCATAGGTGTAATTCTGTTGGTTTGAGGCCTGAAACATGGCTTGTGCTTTGGTTTATTTCTTGCACAACCGTTATAATGTCCTTCCCCTTCTAGTGCAAAGAAAATACGAAGTACTGCACCAGTGTAAAAGGACAAGATAAGCTGCACGTTTTGGCAGTGGCTACTATACTGAGTGCAAGCCTGACGGGGTGCAGGCTGATCCGCGGCATCGGAGTAGGCCGATGAGCAGAAAATGGGTTGTCCGCTTGCCTCGGTGCCCGAGTTACATGGGCGGTGGTGAGACTGAGATACTCCAACCTTCTGGAAGGTCAGGTCTCCACAAGGTATCAGGATGAAAATCAAAGGGAATTAGTACCCTACGATTATAATCCTCATTCAGAAAAAGTGACTTGCCCTAGGTCTAGGAAGAAATCGCTATTTTTTCATTGCTGCGTTTTGCTACTTTCTTGGTTTGGTTCAGGTAATCCTGTTTCATTGAAAAGCAGTTGAAAATGCTCTTCTCTTCGGGCAGGGCCGAGACGAGTGAAGTGTGAACTGCCTCGTGGGGGTGAGGCGCAGGGCATCGATGCACGGCGCTGCCAGTGCGGGGACGAGCTATCCACGCTCTAGCTGCTGGAGCGTAGCTGAAAGCTAATATACTCCTTTCAGTGGGTGTTAAAAATGGCATTGTGTGATGTTCTGCAGCAACGACTGGGAGGCACTGATGACACTTGCGTTACTTCTTGCTGCATATTCAACCTGAGAAGGGAGAGCCATCACTAGGCTCCTCTGGCTTCGGTCCCACTTTCAAACAAGAATCTGCCGCTGAGCTCAGCCACCCATGTTTTAACTTTTTTGAGCTAAATATAAGTCTTACGGTTTGATATTTAAGCACTTCCAGTTCGTGGCTTCCTTGACACTCCTGATACTTCTGAGGAAATTATGAAAATGGAAAATCGATGGAAATAGGATGGTTTAATTAGGCCTTGAAAGAAACTTCACCAGAGTAACACTATCAGCCTTCAGCTCTCAGGGTGGTCAAATGCCTAATGAGGAGGGGCTGCAGATGAGCAGAACGTAGCTTAATTTGATAATTGCAAGCTGCCTCTTACTGAATGATAAACCTGATTAAGACATACAAAGGGGATTTTCCTTTAATACTAGTCTACATTAAAAACAAGCAATTTGACTGTAGCTGAATGAATGATTTCAATATAGGAGCTAGAGAAGATTTTCCCTTAGTCAAAACTATAATAATCTGATACCTGATAAATTGAAAAATAAGATGATAGTTTAGGAAACATTGGTATAGTGGAAAGGATTTTTTTGTCCCCTTTTTACTACAGTTGCCATTTTCTGAGAAGAAAATTTGGGGCTTTTGTGTTGGAGTAGGTTGATCAGGATGATTTCTGTAAGATGTGTTTTCATTTGCTTTAAAATGCTTCTGTAAATGTTACTTTAAATACCATCTGCTTGTCGTTCAGCTAATAATCCTGACTAATACGTAGCGATATTTCAGATTCCTGTTCTTTTTGTTGGTTTTACAATTAATTCAATTTTCAAGACATTACTTTTTGTGTATCTTATGATATACTCTTACTTCAGTCTAATGAATGAGCTACATGTAAAACTTAATTTTCAGGTCATGTTTTCATAGAAATGCCATTCCTGGTCTTGTTCCTCTGTGTAGGGTAGTAGGGGAATGCATATTTTTGACAGAGATGTAATATTTCTGGGAAGAGTTGAGAGGACTTTCAGAATCCCCCCTTTTAAGAACATACTTAGTTTATTGTCTTTTACATGCAAGTAGTTTAATTCCCAGCTAGTTCTTTGTCTTCCTGTTCGTTTCTTAAACGTCCTTTTTATGGTTTTATAGTGTCAGAACTAGCCACTTAAAACCAAGGGTAGTATGGTACAGGTGATTGGTATTTGTGTGTGGACCACTGGGGTAAATATTTCATCATGGAAAACTGAAATCTCTCTCCCAGGAGTTTGGACTGCAAATTTATCTCCTCGTTGCTCAACAGAAATGGGTTCGAAATGAGGGCTTGTCACTAGGAGCCTAAAGGCAGCAACTCTGACAGTCCTCTTGCATCTTTTTGCTGACCTCGAGTGTTTCCTCACTTGTGAGCTGACCTGCAGAGCTCAGCCCCTTCCCTCCTGAGAGCTCTTCTGCTTTCCTCTCTGCACCTCTCCCCATTTGTTGGTTTCTCCTGGTGTTACCTGTAGTGTTTGCCATGCCCTCGGCTGGGTACAGCCCTTCTGGCAGGCACTCGGGGCTCTCCACATACCAGAGTTTGTTCATTTGCACACATTCAACAGGCACAGTCTGTGTCGCCTCATTCAGTGGAGAAATTTCCCTAGTGCATGAATATTTCTGTGTATGCACCCCAAGGTCTCTTTTTTTCTTTGCTGCTTCTCTTGTATTCCTCCCTCATCAAGCTCCAGCTTAATTTACCCTTTCATGTATGGTGTTTACTTTCTTCTCTGCAGCTCCTGACCTCCAGAAGAGCTTTCTAGAGTCCATGCCTCAGAAGCTCAGCTTTTATATTGTATTTTTAAGTGACTGCTTAATTTTGAAAACATGAAGGAAATCCTATGGAAAACTCTTGGGGATTGTTAAAACGTCTGTGCTACAGCTCGGTCAAAATTTATCTGTGTTCTCTGGATAGGCTTGCACCCCCGCCCCAGTAATATTAGCATTGTGGTGACATACAGAAAAGCTGCCATTTTATCTGCCCCTAGCAATTGTAATATCTTCTAGAGACTACACCAGACTTAGTCATCTGCCCTTGCTTAACATGCCCAACATAGCCCTCGCCCTGAGACGCTGATGGAGACACAGCTGAGCGCTAAGACGCATTTCTCTGGCTTGCTGCTTGGTTGACCGTCAGCTATCACTTAACACACACACTTTATTCCTTGCTATGCTTGGTCATTTCCAATCTTCCTATTCTCCCTGCTCGGTCAACCCTAAATGGGAGAATGAGAGCTGCTTTCCAACTCCTCATCTTTTTTTTTTTTTTTTTGAATAAATTATTTTATCTTCTGTCCCCATCTCGGCAGACTTTGTCCCAGTTTACTTTCGCTCTCATTCTAAGTTCAACTTTTGTCCCTTTGTACTTAAATCAGACTGCTGCTGCTCTAACGTACCCTGAATGCCTGCTAGGGGAGCAGGGAACTTAAATGTCTCTCGTCCTGGACGGGACCTCCCAGGAGATGGCATCTGCACAGCCTGGGCAGGCCCAAGAGCTGTGGCGCTTGCAGTTTGAAATGGAATTTGGCTGTTCGTGTTTATATTGAAAATGTACCAGCTGTGCTCTTCCAAGTGTTTTTTAAATTTGGGATTTTGAGGGAACAGGAAGGCACACGCCTGACTCGGATCATCCTTCTGTCAAATTTTATGTGCCTGCTAAAGCATCACGGGTGCAGTGGTAGTTCAGACAACGGGTTTTCAGAATGTAGCACAGGTAATGTAGTTTTTCTTCGGCCTGTCTCTTGCAAACAGTGGAACTCTCTTGCATCCAGTAACAAAGCCGAGGGAGACATCTAGCAGGAAAAATTTCAAATGCGCATAGTTTGGCAAAGTTATGCTCCATGGTTTTATCACTGGAAAGAATTAGAGGACGTTTTACTGCCGCTTCCCTCAAACTTAGAAATATAAGCCTCACAGAAAATGAGGCTTTGGTTTGACACAGTGCAGCCTTCAAAAACCGATGCTGGCTGTCCCCCACCATGGCGCTTTCCTCTCTGCCATCTTGGCAAAACCGGGTGCTGGCTGTTACCTAGCACTTAGCTGTCTGTTATGCTCTTAGGAGGTAACACTCTGACTTTTTTTTTTTCTTTTTAATTGGTGCCAGTTTCTTTCCCCAAGAACTGAAGATGATCACTGCGCAATACAGAAGCGAAGCTGCTTGAATGCTGAGCTGATGCCCCAAGGGGGATGGAGGGTGTCCCGTTGCTGCTGCTCGATGGCCCTCAGTGCAGATGAGTTACCCGGCAAGGGCTAGCCCAGCAGAAAGCTCTTCACTTCAGTTTTGGAGGAGGGTTCTAGTGGTAGTGACACCTTGAGCCAGCTCCCTGCAGGATCCTATGAGGACCCATCGGTCAGGTGCTGCCTGCACCAGGGGAGCAGGGAGGAGCACAGGGATGGAGGGAGGACAGGAGAAGAGGTGGTGGCAGCAACCTGTTAGACCCAGGTAGCTGTGAAGTCAAAATGACCCATTAAGGGAAATGGGCTCTAATTTTACTTTTGCACCTTTTCCATCCCTTTTTTTCAATTGATGATAAACTGTATTTGTTCTTTTTCTAGTCTTCTGTAAGCATACCTGCCTCCAACTGCTTCTTAAAAGTTAATCTCTGAGACTGAGTATTGTAAAGTAAATTGCATCAGGTCCTGCCTACTTGAAAATACTTGGCTTATCCTACTAGTTTCTAAACTATTTTCCTATAGAGACAAGTGTTCTTATGGACACATACTTGCAGGTTTGCCTTTGATGTTAATTGTGGTAGCTATCTGGGTTTCTTTTGGGGGGGGAAGGAGGGGGAGAGATTGAAGCTAAAAGGGCATAACTACATAGGAGTCAAGGTACCACCTGTTTTTAGTGGTCTGCACTGAACAGTGGATCTGTAGTTGTATCTATATTAGGAATTGCTTGTAGTATTGAAAGAGAAAATTGAGTCAAAACAGTTGATGCCAAACATTTTAGGTCTCCACCAAGGGGTTAGATAGGTGTCTGGTTCAGCTCAATAGGATGCTTTCCTCTTATGTTACTTGCTGGGTGTATCAATCTGTGGCTTTAGCTGTCTCACTGCCCCCCATGCTTTATGATCCTTTCACAATCCCCCTGAGGAATCTGACTTCCATTTATTGCACTCAACTTTCATGTTGCTGAGAAGTTCTTAATCACAGTATCATTAAGGTTGGAAAAGACCTTCAAGATCATCAAGTTCAACCGTTAACCCAACACCACCATGTCCCCTAAACCATGTCCCAAAGCGCCGCGTCCCCATGTTTTTTTAATACTTCCAGTGATGGTGACTCCACCACCTCCCTCGGCAGCCTGTTCCAATGCTTGACCACTCTCTCGGTGTAGAAATTTTTCCTAATATTTAGTCTAAACCTCCCCTGGTGCAACTTCAGGCTGCTTCCTCTTGTCCTATTGCTAATTACCTGGGAGAAGAGACCAACACCCACGCCACCACAACCCCCTTTCAGGTAGTTGTAGAGAGCAATGAAGTCTCCCCTCAGCCCCCTCTTCTCAGGACTGAACAACCCTAGTTCCCTCAGCCGCTTCTTGTAAGACTTGTGCTCCAGACCCCTCACCAGCTTCGTTGCCCTTCTTTGGACACGCTCCAGCACCTCAGCGTCCTTCTTGTAGTGAGGGGCCCAAAACTGAACACAGGATTCAAGGTGCGGCCTCACCAGTGCCGAGTACAGGGGCACGATCACTTCCCTACTCCTGCTGGCCACACTATTGCTGATATAGGCCAGGACGCTGTTGGCCTTCCTGGCCACCTGGGCACACTACCAGCTCATGTTCAGCCGGCTGTGAACCAGCACCCCCAGGTCCCTTTCTGCCAGGCTGCTCTCCAGCCACTCCTCCCCAAGCCTGTAGCGTTGCATGGGGTTGTTGTGGCCGAAGTGCAGGACCCGGCACTTGGCCTTACTAAACCTCATGCAGTTGACCTCTGCCCATCGATCCAGCCTGTCCAAATCCCTCTGCAGATCCCAGATCCAGAATCTCTATGCTTCCTGTCT